TTGGACAGGGTGAAAGATTGGTTTCAGCTACTATAGACCTCTACAGACTATCCCAGAAGAAGTATGGCCCCTGGACTGAAAATGTTTTGCTCTGCACTGTCCAGGAAACTCACAGGATACTAGAAAGTAAATTGAGCCTGAGATATATGGAGATTCATTTATTGACACAAACATAAAAACATGGAAACAGAGTGAGTCAGAAGGGGCCTCCAGGGCCATCTAGTCTGACCTCCGGGTCCAGCCGGCTCCACTCATAACTTGCCCACCATGGGCATGCCCAGCCTATCCTTGAACACCCTCACCGATGGGGCTTCAACCACCTCCCTTGACATGCATGTCGAGATCACATTATATGAACTGATATTTGACAATGTTTTGCATACACATATTGCCACAGGACCAGTCAACTGTACAACACATTAAGAGAAAACGTCTAGTGCGATCGCATATACGTCTCCCCAGAAATAAGTCCCATTAAGTCACTAGTAAGTCTGCATAGGGTTATAGCCATCATGTAGATGACTTATCTTACATATATCCCAGTAGACACTCTTTGTTAATCGTGCCCCACCCTCCATACTGCATGGCAAAGTTTCCTTGTTCAGTTTTGAATTGGGGCTATGCTGGGTACCAGAAGGGTCCAGGCTTTGGGCTCACAGCAGCACAAATTTGCATATCCATTTGTAAAAAACATAGATTTATGTGAGCTTTCAAGTCTGAACAAGCCTTTAAAGAACCTGTAGGGACAGGGTTTTTATTATATGGACAGGACAGTTATTTTGGGTGGGAAAAAGGCAGGAAGTTTCAAGGGAGCAGCAGGAGGTGAAGCACGTGTAGGTGAAAAGCCAGCTGGGTCAAAGCATCAGATGCAATGAAGGACGCCTGGACCTTTCTTTCAGCAAGTGCCCATGGACAGTGGGATGGTCAGCAGATGACTGCACCCTAACAGGCAGATTATCATTTGTCCCAGTCCCTTAGAATAATTTGTCTAAGCACAAAGAGTCATCAAACTTCATACAAGTCCATAAAAACAGGTCTAATTTTTCTTTTTGTTTTGTTTCAAGGTCGCATAAAAGCTTTGCCACATATGTATTCTTCTGTGCAACGTACCATTTTTGATGACACTTGAAATTAAACTGGCAAGCTCCTGAGCGTTTGCTGCATGTTAGAATGGAAATGCCTGCCTCTCTCTACCTGAAGCTGTAACCTCCTCTAGACACAGAGGTGGCAACCCAACATGATGGCCCATAAGTTACACAACAACAGTGGGGCGAACTACTAAATTTACTAGGAGCTATTAAGCGCTTCACATTCACAGAGAGAAACTGACCTTCAAGTGACAGACTTTTACATGGAGAGTTGCCTAAGCCAAATATGTTAGGCATTCATACTCTTTAGGGCCTCTTGCAGACAAGTGGGAGCTTTCTGCATGACAGGTTTTATCTAGACAAGAGCTAGAGAAAAAAGCAACTCAAAGGCAAGGCAGCATGCTATGAATATCCTCGCTTCTTCACTACTGCCAGCCCCCATGCGTATTCTTAAGCTGGAGGAAGAGAGAAAACTGGGATAAAATCCAGGATAGGAGCTGTGTTATGTGACCCCCTCACCTCCACCCCTCAAAAAAGTTATTTCAAACAATTCTTCTTAGAAAATACAGCATTTACTGGCTTGATCCAAGAGCCTGAATTTGGGTGTTTGGAGAAGGTGACCAAACCTCCTTCCTTTTGTGAGGACCTCATGGCTTTTAGGAGGTTACAGATTTGCTCCCCCTCCACTCAGGAACCCCTCAAATCACCCCTTCCCTGGGAATCTCCAACTTGTGTGGTTATATGTTGGATAAAAGAAGAGCGACTGCTCTCCAATTTTGGACTGACTTGACTGTCCAGACCCATTACTATTCCTGCCCGGCCCTGCCTTTGAAAAATAGAACTAGATGGAGGCTTGCCCAGTTCACTTTTGGGATTCTCCCTTAGCTAATGTGTCTGGAAGGCTAATGGCACAGAGGGTGGCTAAAATGGAGAGGAAACGGCAGTACTTGGGAATTTTCTTACCCTGCCATAATCTGAGGAGGTTAAGCAGAGTAATTAACGTGACACAGGACAGAGGAAACCCTTGTGAGTCAAGCCTTTATTCCATCCAGTCAGGGATTGTCAGCATTGACTGGCAGCAACTGTGCAGGGCTTCAGGAAGGAGCTTTTCTCATCCTAGCTGCAGGAGACACGGAACCTCCTGCATGAAAGGCCAGTGAGCTACAACTGCAGGTCCCTTATTAAAGCAGACTTGCAAGAGCAACTCTTCAAGAATATGATTTTCAGGGTTTATCTTCTGGCTAAATTCTCATGCAGATCTTATGTTTCTCTTTATGGATCCCCTTCTGCGCAGAGCATGAAAAAATAAGGGGTAATGGAAAGACAAGAGCATTCTGCATATATTCTTATATTTTTAATACACCGGTGTTACTAAGCATATTACTTTGAAATCTTGCACTTTGCCCAGGATTTATAATTTCTCTTGGAGAAAGCCACTGGTACAGGATACAAAATGAATGGCATTACTGTGAATTGCCTTCATTAAAAGAGGGTTGTGAGTCCTCTATGCATGTGACACTAGTAACGTGATATGTTCACAAAGAGATAGCAGAACTTTGTACACTGGACGCCGGGCAAAAGCGAAGGAGCCCCTTGCCTCTTGCTTTCCCATCATGAATCCTCTTCAGCACTTTTGTCATGCCCCTTCCAATGGCGCAAGCAATACTGAAGGGCTTGAGCTGAAGCAAATGGACGTTCATTGTGCTTATTGCCAAATGGAGTAAGCATGCAGGCCTACTGAACTTCCTCTCATAGGATGGATGCTCTTTGGTGCCCGTAAGCCTCTGCAGCTAGGCATTAGATGGGGCTACCTAAAGCCAGGATATAGAAGCACCTCCCTGCATCCTCGCAGTTCAGTGATTCTGAAGTGCAGGTTTTCACCTCAACAGTCCCCCAGGAATGGTCCAAACAGGAGATGGTTTATGTTTATCCAACTCAAGAAATCAGGTCTAGAAATTTCCATCTCCTTCAGCAGCAGGTCCTGGTCAAGCAAAAGGGTCCTAATGGCCCATTCAAGACCCTCCGACCTTAAATATTTTGTTGGTGGGAAAATGTGTTCATTCGCCCTCCCTGCACCCAGCCTTATCTCACACCAAGTACTGTGAGGACTGCAGCTCTAAACTCAGAGGAAGTAGGAAAGTCTGAGTGGGTGGCAGATATGCCAGCATGACCGGTTTCCCCCACAACCCCTTGGCTGCAAGATATGCTGCCTGGAAAACAGAGCAATCAAAGCTCTTCTTATCTTGCAGATTAAGTCCGGCCTAAGATCTATATAATCGCAAACCACTGAATGTAAATCCTATGGACAATACAAGAGCTTTCAGGGCTTTTCCACATGAGGCATTTACTGTGCACTCCTTATTGCCTATATGGAGTTTATGCGATCTTTAGATAATGTCATGGCTTTCTGGTTTTGCTTCTGGGTATAACTAGCTCTTCTGACAAGCTTTTTCTTTTTTTCTTTTTTTAAGAGAAGGGAACATGTAGCACCTAATTGTGAAAATGAAAGAAAGTGCCCTTTTCTTTTGTATCTTCTGCTATACAAGGGCCATGCAGAGGTTACACAGGGGGAAAGAAATGCTCTTTCTTAGATCTTAATCTTGCAGCAAAACTGGAAGTAGGTACAGCAGATTTGCAGTTGATTAAGAGCTTCATGTAGAAAAATGCTTCATGCATACCTTCATTATTACTGAATTGGAAACTAGCAATAATTTCACCTGGCTATCAATTAGGGAGGAGATAATATCCAGATAAGTGAGATACCCTGTTGCCTCAGGCCAATCCATAATACTGTCCAGGGTCAAATCCATGGCAGTCACTGGGTTCACATAGCAAGATAAACCAGGTGTGGCTTGCCATGCTGTCTGAACCAGACAGAACAGTTAACAGACTCTCCTTCTGGGTTCAGGCAGCACAGCTGGCCATTCCTGACTTAAAACCCAATCACCATAGGCTGAGCCTTAATATCTCAGTCCAACTGCAGCCTTTTTTACCCTGTCTTCACACACAGCACAGAAAATAAAATAACACCACACAATGAGATCTGCCAACCAGCCTAATGCAAGCCGCTGTACTACATAGCCATACGTGGAAACAGAAATTAAGCACGGGTGTTCACATCTGTCTTCATCGCTCACGTACAGCACCAGTGAAGACTGGGAAATGTGAAAGAAACATCACAGATCAAGTCATCATCAGTTTCTGCTCACTTCGTTTCATCTCAGGTACAATGCTTTTGACAGAACTATAACATACTTGCAGCTAAGACAGCTTTTAGCAAACTGGAACCCTCCAGATACCTTTGAATTACAAACTTCATCAGCCCCATCCAACATAACCAATGAGCAAGGATGGTGGGAGTTGTAGTCTAGAACATCTGAAGAGCACCAGGTTGGGGAATGTTGAGCTAAGAATGACCAAGTGATGCTGTCTCATGTATATATACACAAGTGAGAATGAGACACAATCAGACTTTGTATAATGAAACTTTATACACCGTGACATGAAAAACTTGGGAGAATCCATTCCTTTTCCAATATTACACAGATCACATAACTTAAGTCATTTTATTTTATTCTCTTCTGTTCATATTTTTTCCGTATTCACAGACGAAAACTGCCCTAAAACCTCACCTGTCACCCTTTGAACTACCCAAAAGGCCAGTAGTGCAAAAAACACTCACAATGACAACCTGAACTAGTCATTCATTCCCACACAGCACCCACTGACAAGTAGTGCCCTGGCTTTGTTTGCAAGTTTTGAGTAAGAAGAAAGAAAGGCAGAGCTGCTGGCTAAACTTGTAAAGTGATCTGCTCATAAAGTGAACTTAGATGTATAGATACATATAGCTGGACTTGTCAACAGACAAGCATAGACCTCTTTTAAACAATACGTCACTTTGTAAATACTCACTGGATTAAGGCAGCTTTTTCTTTTCTACTGGCCTCTCTGACAGGCTTCAGTTCTTCTCCATCATGCTGTAGATCAGGCATTAGTACCATCGGAAAAGAGTCCCCTTTTGTCTGCTTGGCTCCGTGAGCCCCTCTCTTCCCAGCCCTACCAGGATTCACCTCAAGCTTTCCCCAGCTCTCTCTCTCTCTCTCTCTCTCTCTCCTCTGTCACATTACACTGCTTTGCAACCCCAGAGCACAAACTGAGAACAGCCTTTTTTTAGTCTCTAGCTAACCTGAGCATGCTTGAACTGGTATTGTTTCCTGGCTCTTTGCGCTGAAGGGAGGGAGCGAGGGAGGGAGGGCAGAACACCCCAGGCCAGGAAGACACATCCCTCTCTCAACTACAAACTAGTTAAGAGGAAGGAAAAAAATAAATAAAACCTGTTCAACAAGCTTATCATAGAGGAAAGCGATTACTCAAATAAGGCATGAGAAAGCATTCTAACAATAGCTCAACAGATGCTTTTTGACTTGGAAAGCTTTTTGCCTTTTTTTAACATCAAGGAGGCTCTTGTGGTGGGATTTAGACATGCTTAAGAAAGGAAGTGTTAATTACAACTCAGCCAAACCAGAAATGGGAGAGAGTTCCAGGGCAACAGACCACGATCCGGCTCTTTTAATGACACGAAGGAGCCGGGCCTGTTACACAGCTTAAAATATTCATAGAGAATGTTGGCTCCCTGGGTGCTCTCTTTTGGTTGCTTAAAACAAACGGTCTGCTGAATGTTTTATATGGGAATGCCAAAAATGTCACGGGAAAGCGGGGGCGATATGACAAACCCATTGGTGCCAAAGCAGGTGTAAAGATGCATGCTCGGTGCTCACTCATACACTCCAGGTTGATATCAAAGGGCACTTTAAGACTTATTTACAGCTCAGCTTGAATGACATGATGTCATTGTGACAGGTATCTTGGTGTTGCTCTGAGGTATTGTTGCCAGAACTGTAGAAAGACAACACACAGCCTTTGCTCTAAATCGTTGACCCAATTTGTATGCCACAACACTTTTTTTTTAAACCACAGGTTTTTGTGAAAGAAATGGGAGCAGGTGAGTGTGCCATAACTGAGCGGAGCTAAACAACTCTGGAATGCTCCACCTGAACTCTTCTAAGGGTTGTTGGGGGAAAGAGTTGGAAGCAGAACCTGAGAGCAAATGATGGGTTCTAACTCTGGGTTGTCTCTCCTCCAACAATCCAATATTATCTGTGTCCAGATAGCAGTTCAGCAATGATAAACAATTCAGCAGTGGAGCTTCTTTGACTGTAAGAAGGGCAGGTGAGAGCCAATTGGTTAACTTCTGCTCATTCATGACTATCTCAGGTTGAAACAAAGCACTTCATGTAAAAAAGAGGATTTCTTTCCCTTGCCCATGTTCCTGTCTCTCTTACAGATTCCTGAAAAATAAATCACTTTTTGTGCATCATGAAACTGTAAAGGCCATCATAGTCTTACCAGAAAAATTGTAAGTCCGTGCTCCTATACTTCTGTCACTCCTGCCCTCAAAGAGTTACATATCTGATCATGCCACTTCATTCTGGCTCACTTATGGTGGAATCTATGCATGTTTCAAAAGGGCGGCAGGGGTGTGGGGAGGCCTACAACTCCCAGCATGCCCAGCAAACATAGCTAAGAGTTCCAGTAACACTGATTGTGATTTCATAAAACCATGGAACTCCTTTCCTATTGAAAGGGTCTGACTGCTTCTCTCCAGGCATTTAAATGAGCAGTAAAGACTTTTCTGTTCAAGACTGCATTCAGCTGAATTTGTAATTGCTTGTATGGTCAAAAAGTAGTTCTGCAATATATTTTGTATGCTTACTATTGTGGCTGATTTGCCATGTATCTGACTGTGTTCTTTTCTGTATGCTGCTTTATGAAGGCACACCCTAAAAAGTGATTTAAAAAAATAAATGTTATCCTATTGTAATAGGATAAATTAAATTACAGATGCTTTAAGAATTTGGCCACCAAAAAAAATTGAAATAAACTGACCGGATCCATATCTCCTGGACTAATGTTTGGATTAAATGAACTTTGTGTAGATTACAAACATTTGCAGCTTAATGCAGAAACTGGATACAATGACTGATGCGTGTACATGCATGAAACTGATTACACTCTGAAAATAGCCTAATTTACCTGTTCAAGTCTGAAACACTATTTTTCCTGGAAGTATGCATGGGAAGATAAAGAGAATACCTCGCTCACCATATCCTTTTATTTAGGACATACAGTGCAAACATGTTTATTTGGAAATAAGCTCCATTGAATTCAGCAAGAGTTTTTCCTAGTGTCTTGAATATAGTTTGGTAAACTTTTATTGTGGTAATAATTGGGTAATGTTAGAATCCTATGCAGGTCTAGATAGTTTAAACATACATGCAATTGTGCCCTAAATATGTCAAAACAATTTTAATCTTGAGATTCTTCCAGCAACTACAAATATGAATCACCAGTATCCTGTCTGTATTTTTATCAAGTTATTTGACTAAGAACTCATTAACATGTACACAGGATTAACTAAAAGATTGGAGCATGCTAAAAAAGGAATTTTCCACACTTTTTCTTCATAGCATATTAATCCATATTCATTTATATCAGATTAAATATCTTGTGAGTGTTCTCACATCCAAAATTAAAGATTAAGAAAGGGATTGCCAACTTTTCAATTACTGAATTAATTTATTTCTAAAATTCGGTATCCTGCTGACTCATTCAAACGGGTCAGTGCAACACAGTAATAGGAAAAATGTAATTAAATAAATGCAAACATTGAAAACATCTTAAAATCACCAAAGGAACCAGTCCTCAAATTGAAATGGCAGATTAATATATCATTGTTTTTAATAACCCTTACATACTTTAGCACATTTTTGAAGGAAGAGTCATTAAAAGTTAGTTAAATATCATAACCAACAATTTTCTGAAACTTGTGGTAGTTCTCTCTTTGCATGGAATGCTTTAAAAGTGACAGTTACTATAGAATGAACCTTTCTGTAGGACATTTTATCTTTCCCCACCAAATGTATTTATTCCAGAGATTTCTATTCTCCCATTCAATGCATTATTTTTTTTTTTTTTTTTTCCTTCCCTTTGTTTCTTTTCTTATTTTGTTTTTTTCCCCTTTTTTAGTCCCTTTCAAAAAAAAGGTTTCCAAATGAATACCTCCCCCCCCCCCCCCGTAGCAGATAGCAGATTTTCTGTGTTAAGATGAAATAAGCTTTAAGAAAACCCAGGAGGGTCCTGAGGGGAAGTTATTATTCTCTGGACCCCACATGAGTTTCTGTGAATGAGGCAGGGTGGTGAGGCCATGGAAGCTTCCACAGCCCAAACCAACCTTGCTCACGTGATCATTTCCAGCTGTGGCAGGAGCCATAGGATCACTACCTTGGCTTAAAGGCCTAAGGGAAAGGACAAACTCACACATGACTGAATTTGTATAAACTTTTCTGGCAGTGTTTTTCGCTTCAGAGGGGAATAAAAATGTCTGAAACAAAGAAACAAACCACAACAGCTCAGTCCTGTTTATGTATATTCTAAGGGTTGCACCCATTGGTGTTAGAAAAGGACCCAGGCTCTGCCCAGCTGTTCATCATGCTTAGATATTTCTAGCTAGAAATACATGGGTTTTGATTTTTACGTGTTTAGGTTTTGTCACACGGTTCTTCCATCAATTGCACCCATACTTTCTTGCTGATTATTTTATTTATTAAAACATTTCTATGCCGCCCCATTCGCCAAAGCCTCGGGGCGGCTCACAACATATTATTTAGTCTTCTGAGGTGAAGCACTTAGTATCCCAGGTTTATTGGCATTCGGGCCTTGGGTCACCAGTTTCTGTGATAAAGGGATCTGACTGTCCATGTGATACATGATCAGAAGGAGGTGCATAGTCAGCATCAAGCAGAAGGCAAGACCAGAGCAGCAAAAAAGAATTGGAGGGTTCTGAGTCAGCAAGATCCAAGGCAGCAATACGAAATCAGTACTTAATAGAAGGAAGCCGTTAGGGTGCAGTCCTAGAGGGATGATTGTAAGCCACTGAATTCGGAGGCTTATGATCATCCCATGCAAGGCCAGAACAGTGGTAGAGCTGATCTTCACCATTTTATCTTCACACCTTGCATTTTCACTGGACTAGACAGATAAAAAGAGTTTTGGGGAGGAGTTAAGGAGACTGGAAAAGCCTTGAGGTAGTCTATATCCTGACCTCTCCAGTCTCTCCTCCTCCTCACCAACCAAATGCCCCATTTTTTTCCTTCTTAAGGATTGTGTTCTGAACCTCAGAGAGGCAGCCAACATGGTTCTTTCTGTACCAGCTGCAAGGTATGAGAGGGCAAGTCAGATTCACCCCTCTGAAGTTGGAGCACTGTCTCCGACTTTGCATATGGGAATCTGAATTATCCTACGGCTCTTCAGATGTTGTCTAGAGGCCATAGGATTGCCAAGAGCTAAAATCATTTTCATAGAAGTGTTTGGTGTCACATTCCAGTGGTGGATCGGCCTAATTTTAAAAAGACAGGGCCAAAATACTCCAAATACCAGCTTAAATACTAATAACCACACCTTAGAAAAGGCAATTCTCCCTTTTGGAAATGGGAGAAGACCGGGAAACCACCAAATGACTGGCAGTCAGAGAAAAGGAGTTAAGGCAGTATGATGCTACTATCTGGAGAGTTTGGATGGAGACCTGAGGTTGGCCAGATTTTCAGAATAAGGAGCTCACCTTGTGCTGGGATTGGCCTTGGGGGCAGGGGCAGCTGTTTGGCTGTTTAGAAGGACAGGCATAGCTGCCCAGGTGGGCCCTTGAAACCAGAGCTCACTCAGTTGAATATTTATGAGAAAGCATATTTATGAAGCCAGAGCTCCCTCTGCAAGGCCTGCAGTTGCGGGTGGCATGGGAGGAACGGAACCTGGTGACTGGGAACCTGGTTTGACGACACCTCACAACATTCCCACTCAGGGCCTCGCACCAGCACACCCTGATCTCAGACCAAGTTCCTTGTGATTCCAAGCCAGCAGATTGAACAGAGTATTCTTAGCTCAGCTATTGGGTGGTATAGAAATTAAATTAATAAATTTGAGCATTTCATCCTTAAAGGGAACCAAAATGTAATTTTAAATGACTATATACCTAAAGAAGGGCCTTTTCAGTATGTTTGTTCTGTCTGCTTAGGCTCCATGAAGAACTTTGAAACTCTAAATTGAGCCCATTCCCTAGTATTAGCGCAATAAAAAAAAAAGACTGTGCTGCTTTACTTTATCTCTGTTATGTAT